CTCGGGCTAGCCACAGACGAAATGATTTGCCCAGAGTTCGATTTTCGACGGAGGACCATAATGTCATTGCATGGGAGGCAGCAACGGCACCCTCACCCAAAACATCATCTCGGAAAGTGTCCGGCCTCTGGAAGCTACCACATAGTTGTGATAAGACGAGATTACTCGTGTGGGCTGTTAACAGGTTCCGTCCTGAGATTTTATCACCCAACAGCTCTAGAATAAGCTCACTTTCGTATGTCCCCTTAATACCGTTCCCGACAAGTTGAATATTCTGAGATGCATGGATTATCCTGCGTAAAGACTCCGTAGACGGTCCATCGAGAGTGCTATATTCTGCTGAGGGGCTATATGTTTTGAGAAAGTCCGAGAACCAAAGGTGGAACTCATGCGCTTTGGCGAGTGTGGCCTTGAAGTGAGCTCTTTGGGTAGTGCTCGCTTGAGGTGCAGACAAGAATTCTCGAAGAGATGCCAATATTGAAACAGCTAGACCGGCAGTAAATGAAGGATTGTCAGAAAGATATGCCTTGCCATTTTCAATTAGATACCAAACCAGGCCAATCGCATCCTCTGCGCAATGAAAATCCGTAAGGAAGGGGCTTAATCCACGTAAAAGCATCTCAAATGGATAATCATATAGTAATATTTGACCCGCCACACAAATCAAGATCTTGAGTTTGCGGATAACTGAACACGTATGCAGCGAACCAAGGGCCGCGTGCGTCGAGTCCAAAAGTGTTCTTGCAACGAAACAAACTAGGGACGGAGTCCACATAGTTTCAATGTCAAAACCACTCCTCTTGCACAAAAATTCAATTTCATCGAGAAGGTACCTTGCACGGAAGCAAGGTTGCTGACTGAGAGGAAGGGCTGACGCTGAATGGCTCCGTTCATGTATGTTTTGCCAGGCTACTAATGCATGATGAAATGTAGGCCGTTTCTCAAATGCCCTCTGAATCTGTTCCGTTTGATCGATGCTACCAAAGAGAGTAGCGACTGTCTGAGGGAAATATCTCTCTGATAGTTGGAAAAATTTCTCTTTCCCAAGAAGGTTAATCATCCCACGTTCTGCTCCTTTGGCCCCTGCCTCTTGTGAAGGGGGCATGCTAATGTCACGAGCGACACTGTATGCCTCAGCCTTATAGAACGATTCGCATAATAAATCCTCGAATGTTCTCTCTAGACAAACCTCTATAGCTTTCTTATCATCCTCCTTTTCTCTCATTGCAGTTTGGCCTACAACTTCGTCTTGTATGTCAACAAGAAGCTCACGAAGCGTAGGATACCCAAACACAGCAAATGGAATATCAGTCACGGACTCTTTGTCCATCCAAGTGTAAAGGATCTGTGGCGTAAATAGCTGAAATACTTCCTTAGGACCATCCAAGCCAAGTTCTACAGAAATCTCCTGGAGGCAGGCTTTTGCATGAGGAATAGATGTTGGAACATTCCCAGAAGTCTCAAAAATGCGGTAAATACTCTGGCGAAGAAGTGTATGCCAACGGGACGCAAGCTGCGCAAAGAGGTATAGACGCAATGCAATTCCTTCAGCCCACGTTGAATCCTGGGGTAACCTGTCGATCACATCTTCAAGAATAGCATCATGTTCTTTTAGTACGAACCGACTGAAGATATCCGGTATAAGTTGTGATATATGAAATTTTACTACCAGGTCGCCATCCCGAAGTATTCTGAAAAGGGTAGTTCGAGGAGAGGCCTGTCGGGTCTCCTTCAGGTGAGAAGGGTTTGCTCGTAGGATGGCCTCTGATAGATCGGAAAGTCTTATAAGTACTTTTGAGGACCCGAGGCCTTCTCCCAATAAAACGTCAGTAAACCATGCATAAAGCTCAGATGCAGACTCAAACAGATCGTCCCGTTCATTTCCAGTCCAAAGGTTTACAAAGCAACCCACTAGGCTAATGCAAGCGCAAATTGCGGACTCGCACCCTTCGAGCTGATAGGACTCTAGACACTTTTCTCCAAAATATTCTATAACTCTGCAAGCATTAGCCCTGGAGACATCTGGCCGTCCTTTGAAGATGTCAATGACATATTTCCATCCGACGAGGATTTCTGTTTCAGTTAAAGTTGTGAGGTATCCTATCAGTGGGCCATCAAGGAGTAAACATGGTTCCTCAGCTAGGCGGATTTTGCAGATTACCATAAGCTGAATAGAGGTCGCAATTCGAACGGAGGCGCTATCTGGAAATAGTGAGACAACGCTGTCACTTCGGTGTATCTTTGAAATAAGACTCGACTCCATGGCCGCGGGCCGTTGGGATGGGAAATCCGTGTCAACATCCATAGCATCACTTGCTTGCGAATTGATTTCATCGGATTGTCTATCTCTTTCCAGTATAGGGACGAGTAGCACACTCATCCGGACTAGGCCACGCAAAATGATATCCTTCGAGTCAAATGGAGCTTTCAACGAGAGAACAATAGGAGCTAACACCTCTAAACATGTATTTAGGTGCTCCTCATCCTTGGAAAATTTATCACATAAACTCGCCCAAAGTTTAAGAACGGAATCTTGGGTGTGCTGGCTCCTTAATGATTGCGGTATGAACTCCATCATGATTATAGAGATGACGCATAGAGAGGTAAGGACTTGGATAATCTCCACAGTGATATGATGCCCCTTATCAGTGCAGAGAGCAGCCCACACCTGATGAAAGGTATCAATTTTATACTGTAAGAGGTCAAGAACCAGAGTCTCGGAAGGGTGGTGTCTAGTAGCGACATAGATTGGTACATTACCCACTATTTCTGAATGAACAGTCGTTTTCTTGTCCGTGAGTGTCAAGTAATCGAGAATTTTTGCATGATGTTGTAAATGCATCCAAACCCTAGAGATGCGATTTACTGGGCCTGTAGAGGATAAATCTGGGTTCGGTATGGACGCTCCAAAACATGACAGTAAAATGCCAAGGAGAGGAAAGGGCCGAGCAAAAGTTGCCATATGGCTGGTTTGAACTCTGTCTGTCGGGACTGTAGTATTCGCCGAAAATTAGCATTGATCCATTAATTAGACAACGTAGATACTATACCTAGAACCCATTTATTTTTTAGCCACCCACAAGCTTGTTTAACAAGGCTTTGGCTCTGTGTAGCATTTACCTCCGACCACAGTTCTAAAACATTGACCCAAAGATTCAAGGACGAATCGTTGAGGTTTGCAGGACCGTTCATGTCTGCGGAAGACACCAGGGAATCGAGTGTTCGAGCAATATCCGAGTAGCTCAACAACTTAGAGTGAATGGATACAGCCATAAAATGACAGACGGCTCGCGAGATAGCTGGAGAGGATATATTTCGTACACCTAATTCCCATGCTTGAAGCCAAGTTTCCTTGATCTGATCAGATTTGGCGTGCCGGCAGAGAGTAAGACTGTGTACACGAGTTAATAGTGCAATACTGACAAGGTATAATAGTGCAACTTACCTGGTAATTGCAACAATACTCCAAGAAGCGACCACAACATTGTCATCGAGGGTATTTTTAATTAGTTGCCCAAGGAGTGTAGAGAGGCGTCCGACTTCTGGCTCTGTTTCTGATACGATGAATGGTATGAGTTGTAACGCACAAATACGATTATTCCCAGTAGGTCTTGAAGCATCCATCAGAATATCATCAATTCTAGAAAGAAGATGCTGCTTTTTATTCAAGGACTTTTCTTCCGCCAAGTCACGTTTCTCGCGTGAGTGATAATTGTCAATAAGCCTTGAGAATGCCGCTATGAGTGACAAAATTGTCCAATTCTGCATGACTTTCGAGACTCCTGTATTTGGTGAGATAAACTGAAGGCCAACATGCATAGGAATAATGTGGTGGGAGAAAATTAAATCGTCAACCTGCAGGGCTTCTCTCTCAGGAAGCCGAACATATTCCGAATGCAACCTGTCTACGATACCTTGGATAATTTCGATGTCTAATTCCGGCTGGAGAGCTTGGCCTCTTCTGCATAGGATTTCTTTTCCTATAAGAAGGGTAGCTAGCATCTCTTCTTTGAGCACAACAGACTTTGTAGACCAATAACTTCTAATGGTAGGTATCACGGCGCAAAGGGTATCTTGAACAAGAGTAATGTTCTCCAAGATAGCAATAGAGAGGGTCGTGTTAAGAGCAGTGAAAGCTGCATGGGGTGCGCTTCCCATTGGATTTAGTGAAGCTATATATTTTGAAAGATTATGAAGTAGTTTCGGTGCATTCTCGAGCACTGGCATACCTGGACAAGCGACTAACACCTGTATGCAGACTTCAAGGTCCTCAGAGCTGCCCCTTGAATCTTGTTTAGACGATGGGTAAGAGGATTGTGCCGATGTTGGATGGGGAGTTGAACGGCTACTCTGGCTGAACTCTTCTGGTGGTATGGATCGGCCTCGCCGGATGCTCATCTGTAGCGAGTTGCTATCCCCTGCAAGTCCAAGGCCCTGGAGGCAGAATTCTAGCAGATCACACCAGACATCTTTGGAAAGATGTTCAACATGGGGTGGATATTGTAGAATCACTCGCAGGGTTTTTATGTAATCTGCACTTAGAGATTCCCATAACCCTTCCCCGGGGATTGTCAATGAATCAATAACATGGTTAACAAGAGCAATCACAGTTTTCGTCCTAATCCGACGTAGGGAGACTTCAGCTGCAGTTCTAATGACACCAGCGCATTTTGCCAGTCTGCTTGCTGCTTGCGTTTTGGAGACAGCTCGATTCGCTTTACTGAACGTCGATTTCTCAATAGCAATAAATCGGAAAAGAGTCTCAAAGATACCGTGATATACTTTATCGTTCAAAGAACCCCTATAGATAAGTGTAAGTCACCACATGCGGTTACAGGACCCAGCTGCTGGCGATTTTATAACATACAGTCTAGGAGAGCGCCTGTTTTGAAGCAAGATGTGTTTGAGATCTACACAAAAAGTTAGCCAGTCAATTAACACCGGACGACAAACTGGGGTGTCACCTTCAAGTCCATCTATCCGATCTTTGAGCCTCCCAGAGGATATCAAATTGACTGCCTGATCAACACTAACTTCTCCCATGATGGCGCTCTCAACTCATAGGTATAATTAATGATTGGTATCCCCAGCAGGCCGACATTTCATTCGTTTGTTTTCAATGCAGTCCAAAGATGTCAATATTAGAAGTTGAACTTCAGAAAAAACTCGATGCGAGACTTAGCTCCATCGTCGTCCATGTCAATTCCAATCAACTAATAATGTAGCCGCTGGTTCAGCTGTGTAGCTAATAATTAGGTGACTAACTACTAACTAGTTAGTTCGCGTTGTGCCTCGCACGTCGTCCTGGTTTCTTTTTTAGGCTTGGCCCGTCTAATTAAACGGCCTTGGCGTGTTTGTCGCGTTTGGCTTTTGGCCCTAACCTTCAAGTAAGTTAAACTTACTTTGATCTTTCTGCTTCAACAATAAATAACATTGGAAAAAAGGACGCCCTGGACCTCAGCAACGACACGCGGAGTTCATAATGGAGGGCGATGAGAGTTCTAGCAACTTACGGGGCCTATATCAGGACCTGTCAGCCTTGTCCAGGTTTGCTCTTCCCAATGCAGAGAGGCTTGTGGCCGAGTTGGAAGCAACACTTGAGGACTTCCGCAGGCTGTTAGACAAGCCAGCCAAAAACAACGACAGCAGAAAGACTGTTCTTTCAGGTAGGCATCTTGGGGTTGGATAGGCGTTGCGACACTAATGCTCGCGGCTCTTTGCTGATGCTTGCTTTCTTTAGGCAAAATTAAGCTTGACGATGTCGAATATGAGGTCAACGTGGAGTTCCAGCAAGAAGTATTGCAGGTGGCAGATGCTTTGGACGTCGATGAAATTGAGGCTGCGCGCTATTATATTCGTGCACAATCCGATGCTAAGAAGCTAGATCGATCGCCAATCGTCAGCTCTATAATCCGTTTTCACGAACAAAGAGAGTTCGTTCTAGAGTGCCTGAGGCTCATCCTTCACGAGTCTTTTGAGGTAGAACGGGAAGAAACTCAGCTCTTAATGAAGGAATATGTTGCATCGGTACTTGAAATACAGAACGGCCCTTTACGGAATGACTCGCTATTTGCTAGGAAATGCATGGACGCGATGACAGACATCGAAAAGTGGCTGGTTCTTTTGGGGGAACAGATACAAAAAGCATCAATTGTTGGGCAGTCTCAGGAAGCTGATATTCTTGAAGTTATTGAATATCAAAAGCAAAGTCTTGGGAAACAGCATGAATCTTTAGGAGCCATCGTGTCCTACCTCTTCAAAGGCACCTACACAAGCTCTGAAGACTTCCGCAAACTCATGGAGAAAACAAAAAAGGTCGACAAATTTGACATGCTACTCGTCCATTATGTCCCCTCAATCATAACTGCGGCCTCCCAATATGGCTCATCGGAAGGTCAGGGGATTGAAGACGCAAGATCCTTACACAAAGTGATTGTTGAGTCAAAGGACTCCCAAGGCTGGGTACTCCCCCAGTTTCACGCTGCCACCATAGTCTTTTGGCTAGCGGAGTATAGTGGCTGGTACTTTGATAGCACGGCGGCTGGACCGATTCAAGGTTTAAATTCTGCCGAAGAGTCCGCCAAGCTATCAAAATCACTTCTCGCTGCCCTCGAAGACGGCGGTTTTCACTTTATTCTAAGCATTTGCGCTGGAGTTGGTTTGGATGGATGGAAAAATGCAGAAAGGAACGAGCTGGTTACACTCCTACTCAAGGATGCGGCCCGCCTGACTCTCGAACCCGACGCTCCCTCGCCATATTTCCATTCCTTACTCATGGAGAGTATCGAAGGATTCACCGAGTCTCTGATTGCAAACATGCCCGATGCTATCCGAATGCTGAAGTCGGAAGAAGATACCCAGCGATTGGATCAGATTACTGCGCTCAGGGACTCAGTTTCTCCAAATCTCCACCGGGGTCCCGTAGAGGTTCGCATGCATTTAGAATGTTTACTAACTATAATCGCGTTCTCCTTCGACGGCAGGAATGATGCTGCTCAAGAGTTTTGGCTGGACCCTGACGGTAATTTATACGGATTCCTTCAATGGGTATCGAAACGCCAAACCGTTCCCCGGGCCAGTGCATTTTGCGAGATGTTATGCTCTATTTCAGGTGGGGAAGAGAACTCGGCCGCGGCACATAAATTCCTCATTGATGAGGATTCTCTATCTTCTGCAAAGTTTCGAAGGTCGGCTTCTATGAACTGGACTCAAATGTTCGCCGAAATTCAACTCTATGCTGTGAGAATTACTGAGCGCCCCTCGACGACCCAGTCTTCTACACTACGCCTCCGTAAATTGGAAGTCCCAGATATTGAGGAGCCCGAGAGCCCAATTATGCTTACCAGCTACCTACGTCTCATCAGCCATCTGTCCCGGGAGAATAGTAAAATTCGTGAATGGATTCTGCAACATCAAACCACCAACCTGATCTCGGTACTTCTCACTCTTTGTGGTGCGTCAATCCCTCAGCATCTTCGAGCAGCTATCTTTGTTACTCTGCGATGTTTAATGATAGACCGGACGTCAGCCCATTCAAATGAAATGTGGACTTCTCTGGACAACTGTATCTCTGGCTCAGGCTCTCTTCCACTGGCACTTTCTCGGCTACCCCCCTTGTCTAGCCCACAAGTACGGAACGAGCGGCATGCTTTCCAACGCATCACAGAGAGCTTTGATCAGATGAATGCGTTTGTTGAAATGCTTAACCAGCTGGTTGGCCCTGTATCCGATTCATTGGATTCACAATTGACCCTGCCATTCCCTGAGTCGTTGGGCTCCACGTACCGAATGCCTGGTATTGAGCCTTATGTCGATTATGTAATGGGCCAGGCTTTCGCAAACAGAAGTGTCATGGCTGAAGACAAGGAGTCGCATCTCTTGCAGTGGAATTGCATGAATTTTGCTGCTACTGCTCTAGAGTCCTTCAACGAGAATCTTGTTAGCATTGTCAGTCAGCCGTCAATATCCGCACAGCCAAACTGGAAAGTGACATTCTCAACATATCTTCGATTACATCCATTTTCACGTGTTATGGAATGGCTTTTCAACGAAGATGTGCTCAGAGTCTTATTTTCTTGCTCCCACAGAGATGCAGATGGGGTGTCCAAGGCTTCTTCAGACTCCATACTGATTTCCAGCTTGGTCCGGAGTATTGATATCATGAATCTAATTCTCGACCACCAGCCCACATACTTCAATATTGTTCGACCAATAATCAAAAGCTCCGGGCAAGACTCTTCTTTCAACATCGCCAATTCTACCCTTGCATCTTTTGAAGACTGTGTTATTGATAACTTAGGGTTGATTTCTGACCTATGTCTTTATTGCGGGACGGGGCATCCTCAACTGACGCTAACTTCACTGGCTCTTTTGGAAAAGCTGTCAGCTTCCAGAAAGTTAAACAAATCTTCAAATATCTCATCTCGATGGCAATCTACAAACCAGATGGTTGAACAGTTGAACTCCAATGTTGAAGCAGACCGAGTAGCCCGATCACTAGCCTCCCAAATAGATGTAGATATTCGGGAACTAGAGAGTGGTCCAGAATCATCCGGCTACCTTATTAAGATGGGACTACTTCAGCTACTGGATAAGTGCCTCAAGATGTCTCCTGAGAAGCCAACAATTGCTCATCTCCTTCTTGGTTTCTCCTGCCTTGGTAATACCCTCGACATCCCACCAGATGGCTTGTTTGAAAATGGGATTTCCCTTTTACACTCTATACTCGAGTTTGTTAAGGCTTATCCTCTTGGAATGGATGGGGCAGTTATATCCTGGATGATACATCTAAGACGTTTGGGTTTCCAAGTTTTACTGAACCTGTGGGCCTCACCTCTTTCATCTAATCTTACTTTACCGCATCTCCGCGCAGGTCAACTTTTACCAGTGCTCTTCATGTCTCAACCAGTTGTTACCGCAGAGACGTTATGGGACGACTTCCGAACAAACGAGCCTGATTTCTGGCTGTCATCGTCACCCAGCTCGCTATCTGAGCTGCTCATGCTCCGCACACTACTTTATGAATATGCAACGACAGAGGTGCGGGCTGTGTATAAGCAAGGCTCTCCATCTGTCCAGAGGGATACTTTACGGACAATTCTGGGAACAACATCAGTCGAGGGTGACCAGAGCGTCGAACATCCCTCTTTGTTTGATCTTTTCGATTTTGCTGATATTGATATCGGCTTTTCTTATACATGGCCTGAATTGCAGTTCTTCGGTAGCGTCAACGTTGAAAGTTGCGTGAAGACGGAGGAAAACGGAGTGGTTGTACTTTATGACATTGAAGCACTACAAGAACTCCTTCAGCTTGTGAAAGAGGATCTCGTTGCCGATGGTGTGGTGACATCACAAAACGAGCAAATCATGGCTGAGAAGGAGAAACTTTTACTATTTTTAAGTGCTACTAACGAATTCCGTTATGTTCAATTCAATCGGTTTGTTGCCTTAAAGGCGTGGACAGATCTAGTGACCATCATTACTACCACTTGCAAAATGGACCCTACATACATGGCTTCCTTCATTCAGCAAACACTGCAACTGATACTACCAAAGTTTGAGTCATCAATAGTCGAAACCCCAGCGGAAGCTATTGAACTGGCCCACCTCGGTGAGACTCTCATTGACAAGCTTGATAAGATACCCACCGATACAAACGGGGATGTGATCGATGAGAGATTGGACTACTTGTTCCAAGTCTGCACAAGCGGCATCCCGCAAACGTCCGACAACATCACACTCCGAGAATCTCTATATCAAATATCCTCGAAACATCTCGCCCGGATTACAGCATCTAGTTCAACAGATGACCGATTCAAGGAGCACGCGCACAGCACCGTCAAGGCTGCAGGGCCTACACTCATGGAAACTATCTGCGATGATGCGTACGGCAGCAGCGAGAGTTGCAGAGTCTCTGCCCTGGTGTTGCTAAACCTCTTAGGGATCCTTGACCAGCAGAGAAATTCTTCCCTCCTGGTCAACTTGATTACCCACTCCAACTATCTTGGAATGTTCCTAGACGTATTGAGGGTAATGCCTTCGGAGTTCCGAAATGCCAAAGCTACAGGTACGCTTCTGATTTTCTGCTCCATAAACAGGGCTGTTTCACTTACAGCCTGCTATCTAGATACCGCACAGCTGTTGCTGTTCTACGAGTCCCAACTATCACTTCTCCAACAACTTTCACAGACGAAGGCTGGCGCATCGCAGCTCCTAGATGCTGGTTTATTCCAGGCTGTGAAGGAATCACAGCTATTTTCTGCTGATCCAGATATAGGCATAGGTGAGGCAAATTTCAACTCTTAGATCCGAGTACCAGTCACCGTCTTTATTAACCAGGAGTTCCTATTAGATATCGACAACAGTGACGCACTTCAGCGATACTATGAACTACTTTTGTCTGTTCTCCAAGTGATTGTGTCCACTATCTTCGCTAGAGGGCTGCACAATCAGGCCATCTGTGACCAGACGAGAGCATTCCTCTCCGAGAACAGACAGAGCATGGTTGGCATATTCAAGCGATGCGCAAAGAATGGAAGTTCAGATGATCCCAGCATGAAAAAATGCCTAGACAATCTGGCCAAATCGTACACTGCATTGATTGCCTCTGTCGACTTTCTGGACGTAAGTGCATTCCCTCTCCTCCGTCTCTTCCCCATCCACACGCACCATCCTCATGCACCAGAGGCATTGTACTTACACACTTCTGAATAGTACGAAGACAGCCAGTCCAGCATCACGTCAAAACCAAAATTCTTCTCGTAATCTTCTGTGGACTATTGCAGTTTCTATGTGATGCCTCGTACGGAGTAACACGATATCACCGGATTTTTCGTATTTTTGATTCCGCAGTGTTTTCGTTTTATTTTTTGTAGCTTTAGAGTCATGAAGGGCGCTCAGTTTATGTATCTATAAACAGGACGAATGATAACATACGAGGGTAAAAGAAAGGAAAAGAAAAAGAAAAGCGTGAAATATGGTTGCCCCGTTGATCGTTTTATATTTATTTTATTTCTGAGGTCGCGGAAGAAAATTAACTAACCTCTACGTGTTTGTCGTGTTTGGTTGCCCAAAGGAGCCACGACTTCACGTGCTTTCGCCGGCCTGGCTCGACTTTCTAATCGACAACTTCGACTTCATCTCCGCCGTCTGCCTCCCCATTTTCCTCCACCAGGCCAGAGCTCTACGGGCATGCGAAGCAGCCAGCAGGTCGCGGTTGGCTAGAATTCTATCCTGCTGCTCAGCACCCTTCCACTTTCTCACGGTTGTCCTGCCCGGCCGCGCCTGTTCTTCCCACCGCTGGGCTACCTCATATCGATGAAACTTAATGCCTACTCACTCCTCTGGCGGGAACCGCAAACAAATGGGTAAAAGGAAACACAAAGACTCAAGCCGAGACGAATCGCAAGAAGAGCAGGAACAGAAGCAGCGGACAATCCCGGATCTTTTTAGCAGAGACTACCACAGCACGAACCACAAGCAGGCGCAGTCCAACAAGCGGCTACGGCGCAACGAATGCGATCCTGGCCGCGAAACCTCGTCCGAAGAGCTAGCACCCATCACTGTCGACAAGATGTATAAGTTCACCAGCTCGGACGGCAAGGGGAGTAACGGAAGTGCGTTTGGCTTCGCTCGCGCCGACAACCGAGCGCCGCTGGCGAGGGCAAGACCGTTCAATTCTTCCAATCCAAGTAGCTTTACACCCCACACAGGTGCAAAGACACTGAAAGTCAAGAATCTACGTGACACTCCCAAACTCGATCAACAGCTCTATTTTGAAAAAGTGTGGTCGCAGCTGGACTCGGCTCTTACGGCAATTTTCAACCATGAGAAGCTTCCGTTTTCCTTGGAGGAGCTATACAGAGGTGTGGAACATGTGTGCAGGCAGGGAAGAGCACCAAATCTGGCGAAAAATCTCAAGGACCGCTGCATGGAACATATATCTGGGACGGTCATGGAATCACTACTTGCCAAATCCACATCCGGAGATGAGGCCGGGGTACTGCGGGCCGTGGAAGCCGCATGGACACAGTGGAATGCGCGACTTGTGAGTCCTTCTATACCTCGTCAAGTACAAGTTATGGAATAATAACCACTCTAACTGGTCATTCACTTAGGTGACGGTTCGATCCATTTTCTACTATCTAGATCAATCCTTTCTCCTGCATTCTCCCAACAATCCCGTTATATACGAGATGGGTCTTCTTCAGTTCCGTTCATCGGTGTTTTCTGACGAGACCCTGAAATCCAAGGTGTTCAAGGGGACATGCCTTCTGATCGAGCTGGATAGACAGGGGGATAGCTATTCCGACCCCACCCTGTTAAGAAGCTCTATTAAGCTCTTCCACGACTTAAAGATTTACACCAGTCAATTTGAACCATCAATGCTCGAGACTTCAGCGGCATATTATAGATATTGGGCAGCAACCCATGTAGCTGAAGACGACTTGGCAAGCTATGTGGAAAAGTCGTATCGGCTCATTGAGCGGGAAATGGCTCGGTGTGATCTCCTCTCATTCGACAGAGGGACCAAACAGAAGTTAGCCGAGCTTCTCGATCATAATCTGATGGCTAATCAAAAACAGTTCCTTCTCCAAGAGACAGATCTCATTGGTCTCCTCCGAGCAAACAATGCCACCGCTCTGGAACGGTTGTTCTCGATGCTTGAACGGAAGGGTATGGGCGTGGATGTAAAGTCTGCGTTTAGTAAATATATTGTCCAACAGGGTTCCTCCATTGTCTTTGACGAAGCGCGTGAGGCTGAAATGGTCACTAGACTACTTGCTTTCAAGCAAAGCCTAGATCATATCTGGAGATTTTCGTTTCATAATCACGAACAACTCGGCCATACTCTTCGTGAATCCTTTGAAACTTTTATCAACCAGCATAAGAAGACTGATTCTAATTGGGGGACAGACAACCCCAAGCCCGGTGAGATGATTGCAAAGCACGTCGACTTGTTGCTCAAGGGAGGAGTGAGAGCACTCCAGAATCGTCCAGTTGAAGACATCACCGGTAACTCCAGTCTTACCGATGAGGATGCAGAAATTAATAAACAGCTCGATCAAGTCTTGGACCTCTTCCGATTCGTGCATGGCAAAGCCGTGTTCGAAGCCTTTTATAAGAATGACCTTGCAAGAAGACTCCTAATGGGCAGGAGTGCCAGTGATGAAGCAGAGAAGAGCATGCTCTCAAGGCTCAAGTCAGGTCTGTATCGTCTCGACGCATTGTGCATTTGGGGCTAGGCTAACGCAGAAGAACACAGAGTGCGGCTCCAATTTCACCCACAATTTGGAGACCATGTTTAAAGACATGGACCTTGCACGGGACGAAATGGCCTCTTATAACGCCCTGCTGCGGGAGAGGAACGAACGGCCCAAGATTGATCTCAATGTTAATGTCATATCTGCAACTGCCTGGCCGAGTTACCCGGATGTGCCCGTCAACATACCAGACTCGATATCTCAAGCCATCAACAATTTTGAAGAATTTTATAATAACAAATACAGCGGACGAAGGCTGCACTGGAAGCACACTCTCGCCCATTGTCAATTGAAGGCACGGTTCCCGCTTGGAGACAAGGAATTGGTTGTAAGCTCGTTCCAGGCTATTGTACTGCTCCTATTCAACGACGTTGCCGGTTCCGAAACGCTATCGTATGATGTTATCAAAAAGACGTCTGGTCTTAGTAAGCTTTGATACTTCTCTTTTCCCCTCTCTCCTATTTCCCGTTTGGCCCGGGTAGCTAGGGTGGATCACAACATCGTTCAAATGCTAACAATAGTTTCCTTCTCGTAGCGGATGTGGAGCTGAAGAGAACACTACAGTCCCTAGCATGTGCTAAATACCGCGTTCTCCTTAAAAAGCCCAAAGGCAAAGAGGTCAACGAGGGAGACGTGTTTGCGTACAATGCCAAGTTTGAGGACCAAAAGATGCGGATCAAGATCAACCAGATCCAGCTGAAGGAAACCAAACAGGAGAACAAGACGACACACGAGCGTGTTGCCGCAGACCGACACTTTGAGACACAGGCTGCGATCGTACGGATCATGAAAAGCCGCAAGACCATTACGCATTCAGACCTGGTAGCTGAAGTAATCAAAGCAACCAAGAATCGCGGTCAGCTCGAGCTTGGCGACATCAAGAAAAACATTGACAAGTAAGCCTTGAACTCTCTGCTGACTGATAATAGAAAATGCTTTGCTGACACATGTATGCCAGGCTCATTGAGAAGGACTACATTGAACGAGAAGATAACAACCGGTACAAGTATATTGCCTAGACCAACACACAGCTTGTTCCAAAATTTGATCACCATCTCCTACGAATTTCCAGGAATCGACACGAATGGGCTCAAAGAAAAGAAATAAAGAAAATAAAACATCCAAGAATGACAAACAAACCACCCTCTTTTGGTGCATTTTGAGCGGAGTTTTACGGGGAAAGACATGCACTTTTTCATCTCACGGAATAAGAATATACGCTCGTTGACTACTGATCTCTCAGCTACCTCCACACTGTTTCCACAACGCCTTTCTCCTATATTTAGTCAATTACGTGATGCCGCCGGTCCAGGCCCTTGAAGTATTATGTATACTAACTGCGACGCATTATCAGCTGGATCTCGAAGCATCAGATGATCAATCAAGCTTCTCCCTCCAGGGCCATATTTGTTATTTTCTCAAGAACTAGTCTCCTTCTTCTCTTTTGCCATGGCCCATCCAGCCAACTGACTGGACAAGCACCCGCTATCAAGCTGCGATATTCGGCCGACTTTTTCTTTTTCCCCCTTTTTCTTATACTCCTGAACAGCTCTAGAAGCCGAAATCACCGGCACTTCCCGATCCGGTAAGCCGGGACTGCCGACGGCGACGCCCAAGCGATCCAGCAGTGAAAGCCATGAGCGCCTGGGCAGCGCTGGCATCGAGGCTGCGCCGCTGTCCGGCGTGGCCCGGCGCCCAGCGGCCGATGCTGCCAGTGGCCTACGAAGCATAGCTCGCCCTCATTATGCCCTGGCCGACATGGTTAGTAACATGCTTGCTCGGCTCGACGTCCGTCTGGGGTAGTTGAACCTGTAGTCTAAGCTGTATGGAAGAGAGTTAAGGCTGGAGTTTTCCCCGAAGCGCTGTAACAGGCCCACCCGCCACCAAACCAACAGCTTTCGTCTCATCTTTGCTTTTTATTCCAACGCATCACGCTCTCTCTCGACCCTTTTTTTTTTTCTTTTATTTTTTTTTAGATCCCGCAGCAGTCGAAGCATGTTCCTCGACCGGAGTCGCATGTACCTTGGCTTGTCCCACCCGAAGCTTGCGCTGTGCTGATGCTATGGCTGCCGGCAGCTGTTTGCCCCTCCTGGCTTGTCGGGCCTCGCCCCGATGGCCGGGTCGTATGTATCAGGCCAGCACTACAAAGGTCAGCCGGTCACCAGCACATTCGCGCTCTTTTTTCTACTCCTTCAGGCACACCAGTCTTCTTCTCTGTACTATATTCTTACTCCTGAGCAGTTGTACCTGTCTTTTTATTCTGTGAGAACCCGGTCTGATTGTCAGATAGCACCTGTCGGATTGCGCAAACACCCAGACAACTCGTCCATAGGCGGAGCGTCCTACAGCAGGAGGGAAAGCCATACCGCCATCACCATGCAGAGTAAGGAAGCTGATAATTTTGAGCTGGAAGGTGTCCAGGATCTATGCTGACGGTCTCTCTAGCTAAACACTTCTTCTCGGACCCAACTCACCTGGTCAATTCGGCCCTTCACTCCCTTACCCTAACCAACCCTTCCCTGGCCTTCGACAGACAAAACAAGATCATCTACCGTCGACCATGTAAGGATACCGAGTCCAAGGTATCCATCATTTCTGGTGGCGGCTCCGGACATGAACCTGCCTTTGCCGGCTTTGTAGGCAAGGGGATGTTAACGGCGTCGGTGGCCGGCACCATCTTTGCTTCTCCGTCTGCCGAGCAGGTCAGGAGGGCCCTGCTGCAACGAGTTGATGGCTCCAAGGGCGTCCTTGTTATTGTCATGAACTATACCGGTGACGTCATGAATTTTGGGCTCGCTGCTGAAAAGGGTAACGCGGCGGGCATCAAGACCGAATTCTTCGCTATCAGTGATGACGTTGGTGTTGGTCGTGAGAAGGGCGGAAAGGTTGGCAGAAGAGGAATCGGTGGTGGTGTCATGGTTCTGAAGATCGTCGGTGCTCTTGCTGAGACAGGGTGAGTGTTGATCCCTCTCTTTCATCCTGCATATCTGATTCGATGCTAATATATGTGTTAAGTGCGTCTCTGGAAGAGGTTTATGCTACAGCTCAACTTGCCAATAGCAACCTTGTCTCCGTTGGCTCTTCTCTGGAACATGTCCATGTCCCAGGCCGAGGCATGCCAGACCCGAATTCAGACGACCTGGTACCCCACGGCGAGGTAGAGGTCGGTATGGGCATTCATAACGAGCCTGGTTCCCACCGTATGAAGGTCACTGTAGAAGAAATGATACAGACCATGCTCAAGCAGATGCTTGACCAAAATGATAAGGAGCGAGCCTTCCTCAAGTACAGCTCCTCGGAAAGTTTTGCCCTTCTCATCAACAACCTAGGAGGCGTGAGCACACTAGAGTTGTCTGCCCTTACCGCTGAAGTGGTCCTTCAGTTAGAAAGAGATTACAAAATTAAGCCTGTGAGGACGATTCAGGGCACGTTCTTGACCAGTCTCAATGGTATGGGTTTTAGTATCTCTCTACTCCGTCTAGTGGACACCGGACTGGGTGCAGGCAAATCGCTTCTCGAACTATTAGATGCTCCCTCAGAGGCAGTTGGCTGGGCTGCCCCAATCCGAACCTCCACTTGGGACAATCAAACGTCCGCCTCCTTCGAGTCAGCAAGCAGCCCCCGTGCTGTCGAGAAGCCCTCAAACCTCAACCGTATGTACCTTCTCCTTAGCTGCATCTAACTATATGTACCCAGCTAACTCGGCTATAACAGTTGATCCTGCAATCCTCAAAAAGGTTCTTTCCTCGGGACTTGACCGAGTTATTAAAGCGGAACCCCTTGTCACCCGCTATGACACTATAGTCGGAGACGGTGATTGTGGAATTGGGCTCCAGCGCGGTGCAGAAGCCATTCTCAAAGAAATTAATGACTCCTCCACGCCCCTCACGCCCGACATTCTCGCTACCTTGCATCGCATCATTGACGTCGTCGAAAACACCATGGACGGCACCAGCGGTGCCATCTACGCCATCTTCCTTAATGCCCTTGCCCATGGCCTCCGTGCACAAGACAAATCTACCCCTGCCACTGTAACATCAAAGATATGGGCTAATGCGCTCCAGCACTCCCTCAAGGCCCTGGCCAAATACACGCCTGCCCAGCCTGGTGACCGAACTCTTATGGACGCATTGTCACCCTTTATCAGCACCTTAATTGAAACAGAAGATATCCGAAAAGCAGCTGAGGCAGCGAGCCAGGGCGCTGAGTCTACCAAGATGATGAAAGCCAGCCTTGGAAGGGCTGTGTACGTTGGTGGTGAGGACGAGTGGGTTGGCAAGATCCCTGACCCTGGTGCATATGGTCTCAGTGAGTTCCTGAACGGTGTAGCTGAGGGTATATGATCATCTCATCTATATTTCTTCTTTTGGCGTTTCCTTTCGCATTTTCATCTTGGGTATAATATCTAGTGAATAATATGGCGACGGCGACTAATATCTGAGTTAATTCGGGTCATTCCCCTCTCCCTTTACTTCCCCCACCCCTCATTTCTGGCATTACTCTTTGTATCAATCATTGGTATCTTTGTTTTCGCGTGTATATAATGTCGATATACTACCTCCATATTAATACTTTTGAAAACTCCGTCTTACTAGCTACTTCGTAAACTTGGGGGGTATATGCTTTGATGTAGCACGTGACTAACTGAGCCACAAGCTGAAGGCTCAAATAAGGTGCGAAAGGGAAAGAGTCGCAATGTTCACTTCGCCTTTATCAATCAAGGCTGTATGTTTCATCATATTCTAGGGATTTCATGTCTTCTCCAGGGGTACTATATCACATAAACCCTGACCTTCCGCCAAGTGTAACAAAGGACCGGTGCAGAATATCCGGTTCATCCCACCGCGGACTCCATGTGAAAAAGAAATCGCAAATCAAAACGGTACGTACGGATTTTGAGAAGGACAGGAGGGAAACAAGAAACGCCAAAGACGCCGACATGCTGGATTAGTGACTTCCATAACATAGCTTTAATATGGAAGCAAGGCATCACTTTGCGGGCCAGGCCCGTCTCCCGCGACGCCAGAGCGATTTGTTGCATCCTGATTACCGCTTTGGGGTGGAGAGATCTAAGTAGGCGGGAGTCTAAGTCATACGGAGGTGACAGATTGGCGAATGTGTGCGGACCGCGTAGTGTAGAGCTAAGAAAAGACCAAAACGAAGCTCAACTCAGAAGTACCAGGATAACTGAATCGCCTCTCAAGAACCTATATGGTCGAGTAAGTTTAGTGTCATCGCATATACCGTGAAAAGGGAAGGTCCGGGCAAGTTTTGCGTAGACATACATCTTGCTGATGAAACGATCTTTATTGACGCCTTTACCCTTACCACCCTTGGGCTTCTCAGTCCACATCTCCTTGACGTTCTCTAGTACCATGTTACAGTGACGATCAAAAGCCTTTACACGCGCAAGTAGCTTGCGGTTGTTCCGACACGAGATCAAGACCTGCGAGTGGGCACGGGTAGCTGTCTGGAGGATTGAAAGCGGACCGGTGGTGAGCTCATGTTCTTCGAGAACAGAAACTTCGTATTCACTATAGCGCGTACTAGGTTAACTCATCGCCCATCGCCATTATTAATTCATTGCGCAAGGAACAAAGCGAGCTGGAACGGGTTCGGATGCCAAAAACAGAGCAATAGTAGTTGTCTGGCAGTGGTGTGGTTGAGGTTGGTGATGGCTTCAAGTTTGACGGGAAGAATAGTTTGGGGCATTCAAAGGACCAATGGAACGTACGTCAGCTCACTGCGAGGCTTGTTAAGCAGATCTCTAGAGTACAAGAGCCAGATGTTAGCAGGTATGCGGCAATGCGCTGTAGCAGCAAGGCCGTCTATTGCGCGGGGGGGAGGACCGGTTGAGTCATCTGATTCGACTGTGAATGGGAGCCTGCTTACTGAATCTTGGTGTCAGACATCTTCGGAAAAGCTATAAAAGGGCAGCAACGGTACGCTCCTTCGTGTCGACGTCTTTTCCTTGCTTCCGGTTCTTCTTCTTTGCGTTCGTCTTCCTCCTGCGTCTTCGCAGCAAAAAAAGTCAACAAGCCCTAAAGCTTTCTTATATCACGTGATTATTAGATAATCGCCAAGCTTCATGTCCGATTCTGGTTAGCGTGTCACACGTCGGCGGCTTATTTTTCCAACCCTGAAGGCGCGTTGGACCTGGCGCGTCACTAGTCCGTATCAGGAAATCTGCTTCCCATTCACACGCGATTAGGTCAGCAATCTCGAATATCGCGTTTGGCTTCACGACTTTCGATCGTCTATAACTCCAACCTCGTCTTCTCCGCCTCCAACGTCTTCCTGCTCTTCCTCTTCTTCTCCCTCTTTTCCACACACACGCGGTTGCTAGGCTGAGCTCGCGTGAGAGGGAGACCATTGAAGGGGTTGCTTTCATCTTTTTCATTTGTTCTTTTTTGTCCTCGTTCTCATTAGATACATGTTCCGATTACTGGCAACTCTGCCAATCCTGACATTGCCATATTTACACTTCGCTGCAGTCCTCACGTTATGAAGCCTGCCAGGCTACCAGGCACAGACATCAACCTTATGCAGTAACTCATTCACTGAGGCTATCGATTCGTTTCTGTTTGCACCCGCCGACTGCTACCCTCTAGCTTCCTCGAAGCAGCCAACACCAGAGAGGATTTCTTCGCCTTAATTTCCTGTGACTCCTTCTGATACCCGACTTTGCAGTCAAAAATATGGAAAACGAGGAGGGAATCTCTGTTCGGCCTATGAGGCGTGAGTATTTCCAGGTGGCCCATGGACTGAGTCGTGAATACTGATCTTCTCTATAGTAAAGGTCCTCTACACGTTCGATAACGAAAGTAAAACCAACTGTCTTGCCAGGTGGCCGCATATTTTAGATATCCAAACTGCCTATCTTGATGAAACAACACAGGTTGGCGTGATTGAGCTAAAAACTTGCATTCAAACCATTGTCTCGGCAAGGTAAGGCAACTGCATTTCCTCTCTTTGGGAGATTTTTTTTTTTTTTTCTAACACGCCTCTTAGCCCTGAATTGGTTGCAAAGCTCGGGCGAGATTACACGGTCTATGCGTACGACTATTCTGAATATGAAACTCCCCTAGTCGGTCAGGGAATGCTTTCCTGGGTTTTGGCCTCCGCCTCACCAACGCCAAATGCTCCCGCACACCAGTCCAAGACCATTGTCACGGGACGAGTTTGCAAAAATACTGGGTTATTCGCTAGAGGTGCACAGGAGACCCTTGAGGTCAAGCTCCGTCTCGTCCCTGTACCACTGTTCTCCAGAGTGAATATCTTGAGAGTATGCAAAAGTACCGCGAATTAAGCAATCTCATACCACATGATTTTGA